TGTACCCTCTGCAAAGCAAATGAAGAAAGTTGTTACCATCTACTAATCTCTTGCCAGTTTGTTCTAGGCCTTTGGGAGAAGCTTTTTGATCTTTTTGGGTGCAGGTGGACAGAACCGGAGCAGATTTGTAGTCTCTTTGACCCTACAACTTTCAGGTGGCCAAAGAGGAGAGGTAGAGTCTTCTGGAGGTGTGCTAGAGCTGCTGTGGTGGACTATGTGAGAGGAATGGAATGCCAGAATTTTTAATGATAAGGAGAGGGATCAGTCTTGTGTTCTGGAAAGTATTTTAAGTAGGGCCATAAGCTGGGTAAAGTCTTTGGACCTGTTCTCACCCTTCTCTTTCAGTATATAAGGAGGGAGCAAGTAGCCAAAAGTTCTGATGTTAGAAACAGGCCTTTGGTGGAGTGGAAGCCTCCTGAGGCAGGTGTTATTAAATTAAATTTTGATGGCAGCAGCTTGGGAAACCCGGGGCCATCTGGAATTGGGGGAGTCTTTAGAAATGCTGAGGGCCAGATTGCTGCTCTATTTTCTGGTCCTATTGGGGAGGGAGATTCAGTTAACACAGAAGTCCAAGCTGTTCTAATAAGGAGCAGAAATTGCAAAAGAGCTGGCAGTGGAGCATTTAATAATTGAAGGTGACTTCAAATTGGTTATTGGATGGCTAAAAGAGCCAGAGATAGCAGCCTGGCTCTACAGGGGGGCTTTGAGAAGATTTAGGTGGCTAACATCAAATATCTCAGTCACAGTTCAATGGGAAAGAAGATTGGCAAATGGCCTGGCAGATTTTCTAGCCAAACAAGGGGTACATAGCCAAACAAGGGGCTTTATGATATAGTCTAGAGGCTGCACCTCGCGTCTCATTGCGGGGAGCTGTATGTTGTATATGCTTGTTAATTTTAATAAATAAAACTACCATTATCTATCAAAAAATATATGAGCTACTGGTCAAAACTTCAACTCAAGACACTAAGACTGAAAGTTCAAACTAGGGGTGCAAGTGAATGGTGGATGCGTTGGTGCTACTTTCAAATTGGGAAAGCTGGATTTTCCCACATTCACAAGTGAGGATACAATCTCCTTGATCTTCAAGGTAGAAAGATATTTTGAATATTATGAAATACCTGGTCATCAATGTGTATTGGTTGCCTCAATTACATAGATGGTGAGGCCATCATTTGGTTCCAATGGTTCAGACAATTCAATCTCCATGTTTCTTGGTTTGACTTATCAGAAGCCCTCTACGCCAGATTTGAGCCCTTTGGTTTCAAAGACCATGTAAAAAATCTCTCATAATTATGACAAGTTGGCTCTATGAGAGAGTCAACTTGAATTTGAGAGGTTGGCTACTTGGGTGCATAGATAGCATAAAAAGCATTTGTAGGATGCTTTTTTGAAGGATTGAAAGATGAAATTTGTCTGGAAGTTAAAGAATAGCAACCTGCAATTGTCATGGCTGTGGCTGATTTGGCAAGAATATAGGAGTGGTTGAATTGCCTGAAGGTCACCGGGTGATTGTCCTCATTGATAGTGGAAGTTGTTGAATTTCATGACCATGGACCTAAGACCTGACTAAACAACTTGGCCTCACAATACAACCCATACAACCATTCTTAATACATGTTATGGGTGGCGACCACCTCACATGTGATGGGATTTGCAAAGATATCCAACTCAAGGTCCAGGGGAAGGAACTCAAGGTTAACCTATACTAAGGCTCAATGAGGCTGACATGATTATGGGAATATAGTGGCTATGCCAATTGGGCCCAACTGACCATTGTTGGGATTAAGGGATTTGCAAAGATATCCAACTCAAGAAACATTTAGGTCCTACATCATTAGCAACCCCCACCTTGCCACTAGTTACTGAAGAAGGTGAATTACAATCACTCCTTAGTAGATTTTGGAGCATCGGTGGATTAAAGATCTTAAGAAGATTGTGAAGGAAGCCTTAGTGATGTGGGTTGGGTTGCCCCCTTAAGATGCCACCTAGGAGCTCTGCACTGCCTTTGACAGAACTTCCCTCAACTTGACCTTGAGGGCAAGGATAAGCCTAAGGAGGAGGAGTTGTTAGGGCCTAACTCAATAGTGGTTTTCCGGCCCACATCGGAGGTCATACCAACATCACAATGCTAGGAGCACCAACCCGACCTACCATTGCTCGACTTTATTCTAGAAGGCCACGTAGGCATAACTAACTATCAGAGTTTGTTATGAAAAACCTTTGTGCATGTGATGTGCAGTGTATCCCCTAGGCATAGCTATATATTGGCCTGTATCGACTATCAAGTAATAAAGGCTGACATTACTGAGTAGTTTATCTTTTCTCCCTCTCCATTTCAGGATGTTGTGCCACCCTTGAAGGGGTACTTTTGGTGGGCAGTATTCTACCACAATCCTTCTCTTTTATTGAGGAAGGGGTCCTTCAGTTGGTGCCACTCAGAATTTTAGCCTACCGAATGGTGAAGCAAGGCAAGAGACATGTGAGGGAGGCATTAGTTGCTTGGTCCAACCTCCCTCTAAAGGATGCAACTTGGGAACCATGCCACAAACTACAACAATACTTTCTCCCATTTCAACCTTGAGGATAAGGATGCTACTGAGGGAGCAATTGATAGAAACTCAGAAGGGTCTAGGTCGGGGAACAGTAGTAAAGCCCAGGTTCAGGCCCAGAATACCAACCCACGACAAGCAGCCCAGACAAACTACAGCCTACTCACACCCCATTTGTTTTGTTTACACATGTGCAGGGGTGAGTCTGCGTACATCTGTCCGTCCCCAGACCCTGCATTGGTGGGAACCTTGTGCACTAGGCTGCCCTTTAAGGAGGCCACATCAGTAACCAGTTAGTTAGATCTAGATCCAAAAATATTCTAGATCAAATTCAAATTAAAATGGAAATGTCACAAGCAAGGTTCAAATTTTCAACATGATGCGCCCCGTTTTGTATTGTATCATATCATATTGGTAGGGTATTAATACTCGAAATACAGGCCTTTTGGCCTTTTGACCTATTTCAGGGGTTAGGCAGGCTTAAGACCTACCCCTTGGTCTATTTTTGACAAAAAAAGGCTGGAATTAGGTGCACAGTACCGATACGCCCCTTCCAGTGATTGGGGTGTATCGATACTTTGAACCTTGGTAACAAGTATATAATGGGGTGTGGAGGGAAATAAAGGGCATCCAAGCATTGACCCAATTCTCTTCTCTCTTCTTCATTTTCTTTGTAAGTCGGCTGGTAAACCCTCGAAGGGAACCCTGAGTTGAGCAGTAACTCAACACCTCAAATCCAGTCTATCATGTGAGACTTCATGTGTAAAATTTGACAGTCACTCATTTGGATTGACACCAAAAATCATATCCTTTTGTTGTCTCAGGAATATGTTGAATGAGTCCAAAGAACCACAATAATATAAAGTGTCATATTAAAGAGTTTTTAAAATTTTTAAGTTCCATGTTTATCACTTTCTTACAGCCTAAGTTAAGGTATCATTAGATGAATTTTATCAGTTACCCATCCAATAAAATGCGCATAGAGAGAATTTTTGCTGTTTTACTTACAAGTTACAAGGTGCCAGTTTGTGATGGGAATTGGATCTTTTACTTTTTGGGCTTGGAATTCTCTTTGTTTTATTTAGTTGTAGTTGCTGATCCCACCTGTAATAATCTGAAATAAAGTAGAAAATAGAAGAGAAGAAGATGGAAGAGAGAAACAATGGAGGAAGAAGATGGAAGAAAAGGGAAGAAGGAAGAAAGTAATTGGAACCTCTCTCCAGTCCCCCAAAATTTTTTATTCTTTGATTGTAATGTGAGCACAATTACATGAATACCCTTAGTAGGGCAGCCAGCACTAAAAGCAATAAGAAAAAAGAAGAAAACAGGCCCATAACTAAGGCCGCTATTCACAAACATAAAACATAAATAGAACTAAATAAAAGAAGGAAACTATGGACCATTCGTTCCATCATCTATATGGTTGTAGTAGGATTAGTAGTTGATTCTTAGAGTTGTTACTGCCTAGCTTTCAAGTCTAAATTTCACTCTGTGAAGAGAGGTCCCATGTGACTGGATTTTTGGAAGAGTGAATGTGTAAAGAATTGAGATTCTAGAAGTTTCCGTGGTTCTATTTGCTATAGATCGTTTTTCTTGTACTTTTCTCCTTTATTCCTTGGCAAGATCATCCCACATTCTCTTTCTAATTTCCTGCACTTTCTTTTTTTTTAACTTTTGATGGTCTTGATCAGCGTTTTTCAAACTATCATTGGCCTGGGAATTTGAACTGGTGAACTGGACAAATGACCGGGTCCTGGGTTTTTTCAGTTTTGTCTGTTTCACCTGGCTAACCGCCTGGTTGAATGACCAGACCTGCCACCGTACTAACTTTCCAGGTTGATGGTCAATTTGGTTTTTGAAACAATGGTCTTGATGGCTTCTTGGTTAATTCCAGTTAGTCTCTCTCTCCTGGAACTCATAAAATAAAACACAGATGTACTAATAACTAAGCTGAACCATTAAAACTCCCAATATAAGATCAGAAGTTTACTGGTCCAACTTTGCTATTGCTACATCTGTGTTTTATTTTCCTTGTCCTTATTCTCTGGTTCAACAAGCACTTAGAAGTCTGAGGTTAAGCAAAAATTTGAAAGCCTCTAATTTGCCAATTAAGACAATCAAACAGTACTTAGTCTTTTTGTCGGGTTGTCCTACCTACATAATTTATCATCTGTTTTTTTTTTTTTTAATCATTGCTGGTTTAGCTGGCCTCAATCACAAGGAAATCAAAATGGGTGGTCTTGTTTGCATACAAGAAATAAGGGTACCCTGGTTTAATTTTTTTTAATACCAATACATGTTTGCATATAGATGAACTGCAATGTTGTTTGATACCATTAAAAAAATGGTGTTTGGGTAGCATAGAATAATACTGACATAAATTATCAGTTTATTTTATGGAGATTAAAATCTCTTGTAACCTAAGTTTACTATGTTTTCATTATACAGATAGATGCATCTGAAGTTGTAATCTGTATAGTTGCTTCCCAAATTGCGAATCTTGGGGAAAGCGTGCTAGGTGCTGCCCTGCAAGACAAGGAAGGGTTTCAGTGGGTAAGGAACCTCTCCAATGCAAAACTGTTTTATGATTTAACATCCTCGTTCTTGTTTTTCTTTTTATTTCTTATTTTTATGCATCTTTGCTTTATTTCAATTCGGCAGTCCTTTCTTTAGCTGCCCATTAAAGAACTTTATTCATAGACACCAACAATGCCTCTGATCTGCTCTGCCACTTTCTGCAGCTCAACAATGATGTTGTTAATGTAATTAACATATCACTAGGAAGCATTTCGGCAGTCTTGATGCAGCAAGTCGTACTTCAGAAATGGTACCCTTGAGCAGGCAGTGTCTAAAATAACCTTCATACAAGATTCACCAGTTCCTAATTTTTGGAAGCATGTATAGATGATTTCTTTACCCATCATTGCTTACAAGGTCAGTTCTTGGCATTTAATGTACTTCGTAAGCCAGAAGACACTTGAAAAGGGTAGAAAAGGAATATGCATTGAAATTCTTAATAGAAAAAAGTGCTCGTGGCACATTGCCAGGGAAAAATGTTAAAACTTTTATACTTAAATATGGAACAAAGAATTGAACACAAGGATGGCTGATCTTTTATAAAAGTGGTGCAATTTTGAGTTGCCTATTTAAGGAATTTCAACTACATCAACCTTGAGCCTGAGCCCTATGTCCATTCAAAATTTTTCAATCCAACTACTCGACCCCAAGTTGCACCCCTATTTTTACATCCCTCCTGAACGACCTTTCTACAGTCAAGCAATGAGATCCAGTATGAAATGCTCGGCTTCATTTTTGGCTCATCATCTCTATATCAAAGCCACTTGAAATTAGAAAAGATTGAATCAAATGGAAAGACCAGGAAACATTCTAATTTTAAAACTGGAATTGTGAATTCTTGCTTGTGACTTGGATGTTTGTCAGATTGAACAAACAACATTCAATCTCAGTGAAAAATAATGTACTGTTGTCTTGGCGGAATACAGAGATGAATGTGTTAGCTCTTATTCAATTTGCATTATTTTTCCTTGTTTATGACCAACAGAGAACATGAACAGAGAGAATGATGTTTCTGTAAGGATGTGACTAAATAAAGCCACCTTTAGTGGATACTTGTAACTTGTGATTCATCTAAGCAGGCTTGAGATTTTTTATATTCTTTTTCAATACTAACAGCCGTGACAGTGTGATGAGTTGATATTTGACCTATGGAGTTCTACCCTGTTCCTTGTCTGGTCTATCGTATGAGTACTTTGGTTTCCCTATTTTATTCCTTTTGCTGGAACTTGAAAAAAGCATAAATTACTGGGAAAAGTAAAGATTAAAGAAAGGCAGGGGACCCGTTTTTTCTCTGCAAAGTTGGAACATTGCAGGTTCTGGTAACGTTCTATTTGGAATTGGATTCTCTGGCACATTTGTCTGGGTAAAACTGGAAAACCCGTTTCCCATATGAATAGACAGTTCTGCAGGAAATATGCTTACAGCCATTTTGCTTTCAGTTTCATCTAAAGTGTGTTTTCCATTAAGTAAGCTGAACCATCCAATTCCAATACAGATCATGCTCTGTGATTCTATGCGGTTATCAGAAACATTGGATGGTCCAGATTGCTCAGGCAAATAACCCCCCTAAAAAGAAAAAAAAAACTGACACAATGAGCATTTCTTCTGTCTATGTTAATGGGATGATCAGAGCCTTTGGTTTGAGACACCATGATGGATCTTTCGTCATTTACCACCAAGCCAAAGGCGTGGATCAACCATTGTCATCTAGTAATTGTTGTGTTCTGCCTAAAGGTGGGTGTCATTGTTTGTCATTGATGATCTGGACTCTGGAGTTCAACAAGGATATTGCTTGGCCTGAGGGGGACTCTGTAGAACTAGTCTGTCTGGTACTGAGGGGCTGAAAGGGTCTGAACTTTGGATTGCACGTCGGCTTCATTGCCAGCTCTTCTAAAACCTATTCATTTGCATTTTTCAAGTGGGATGCGTGTTCTGACTTCTGAGAAATGCAGGGGCTATTACTATTCGACGGTGTAGTGGGACGCATTAGCAAACTCATTACAGTAAGGCTAAGTTTGGGAGTGCTCATTTGAAATAGGGGTAGTACTTGCTTTAAATAGGGGTAATATAAATATTTTAAAATGAGGAGGTGGGTCATAATAGGTAAAAAAAAAAGTACTTATTGAATAAACACTTAAAGTAAATCCAAATTTTGAACTTATTATTTTCAAAATAATAAACACTTATTTTTAAGCACCCCCAAACTTAGCCTAGACAGTTTAACCAGGAATTAGGCCTTACGGCCATGGACATTTCGGTTCTTAACCAAAGGGCACGTAATGGTCCCAGACTCCTAGTAACCCCACATGACCCAGACTGGCCAGTGGAGACCAGAATTCTAAGTAACATCAGGAGTTGACTGGCGTCAGAATGTTGTCCATTCAACGTTGTTCTCAGGTGTTGGACAAAACTGAAAAGTGGGCCAAGGGTATATGTTCCGATACTTTTAAGTGCATCTTCACATTAAGATTAGACACCATATCTAGGCATTCATCACATAGGATGCAAGGGGTGGGTCCCTTTCTGACCCTGGGGACCACTGTATGATATGCTGCAATCTTTTTCCTGCAATTCCAAACAGTCCGTGACAAGTGTCCCTTTTCATGTGCTGTCTCATATACATGGGTCCTTACACGTTAAGTGCAGGAAAGGAAGTGCAGAATCCCAAAATTCCTATAACCTGTGGCTGTGCCCCTGGCTTTAGATTGACATAAATGTGGCCCACGAGAATGCACAAGGGAATCGTGGCCCCAAAACGGTACAGGAATCAACTGCACATGAACAGGGATCACGTACTCATTTGCACGGTTGGTGGATCTTCCTTACTGCATGCAGGTTGCTGGGAGCTAACAAGATTCATTATATTTATAGTGCTTTTGGGAAAACTAGCTGCAATGGGTTTGATTGGTTTCAATTTTAAATTTTTAATTTTGTTTCGGTTTCAGAGAGGAAATGCCGTGAAAAAAACAGTCTCCACACTTTCACAGATACAGACAGAGTTGGAAGGTATTATATTTACTAAATAGAAATATGTCAGAAGCTTGGAAGCCTTGGGGACCCAAATGCAGAAACAGTGATGACTGATGAGAATTCATGTACCTCCTCTCACAAATATCAAATTCTGTCTTTCTTTTGTTTCTTCTTTCTTTTGAATTCCTTCCTATTTTCCCCTCCTGTTTTCAATCCTTTTGACCCTACCTGGGCTTCCAATTCTCTCACTCAATGGCCCCACCCATCACCTCAATCACATCCCCCTGCCTCTCTCTCTCTCTGAGCTTTGATCTTACTCGCTCATGAAATCCATTCCTAAAGCTACCCAAACAGATGTTGGAACTGAGAAGCAGAGAGCCAAACATCTCCACAATGGGTCGGTGCTTCTCAATCTCTCCTGTACTGCTTTTTCTGCTTTTCACATTCTCACCACCTTATGCTCTTTCTCTGCCCATTCATGAACAAGGGAATGAACAACATCCCGACAACAACGTCCAGTCCATTGACATGGACCCGGTTGAAACCGAAACTTTGTTCAAGATCATGGAGACCATGTCATCTGATAGAAACTGGAGAGTCTCCAATCCACACCCATGTAAACCAGGCTCTTCATGGCCTGGTATAGAGTGCAAAACAGGTGAACACAACCGCCTCTATGTCTCTAGGCTTGATTTTGGCACGCCACCCAACCCAACCTGCAAGGCCACAGCCACCTTCCCTTCTGAAATCTTTGATCTTCCCTACCTTCAATCTGTGTTCTTCTTCCATTGCTTCTATCACACCAGAACAACCATCTCTCTACCCCAACATAGTATCTCTACTTCTTCACTGCAACAGCTCAGTCTGAGATCAAACCCAGCACTCGTCGGGCCAATACCGCCTCAGCTATCTGCTTTGAAATCTCTCCAGGTCCTCACATTGACTCAAAACCACCTGGTTGGGGGAATTCCAGAAGAGATCTTTACTTTAACCTCATTGATACACCTTGATTTGAGCTACAATTTCCTCACAGGCACTATCCCAAACCTACTGGGAAGTCTCAAGAATATTGAGGGGCTTGATTTAAGCTATAATTTGCTTACGGGTCCTATTCCAGACAGAATTGGACAACTGGGTCTTCTTCAGAAGCTTGATTTGAGTTCGAATTTGCTCACTGGTGGCATCCCTGACAGCATTGAGAACCTTAATTTCTTGGTTTTTTTGGCTCTGAGCAACAACAGATTGACAGGGAAGTTTCCTGAAGGATTGGCGAAGTTGGAGAGCCTAGAGTACTTTATCATGGACGACAACCCAATGTTCGTTCCCCTGCCACATGAGCTTGGAAGATTGGTGAAGCTGCAAGAACTCAGGCTTGCAAATTCAGGGTATTCAGGAAATATTCCTCAGAGTTTCTCTCAGCTTCTGAACCTCAGCACTTTATCACTGCAGAACAATAGATTAATAGGTGAAATTCCAGTTGGTTTAACTGGCCTCTCTCACATATATCACTTGAATCTAAGCAGAAACAAGTTGTCTGGTGTTGTTCCTTTCGACCCACTCTTCCTGAAGAGGTTGGGAAGGAATTTGGATCTTAGTGGCAATCCAGGGCTCTGCTTAGATAAGTCTGAAGCTTATGTAAGAGAAAATATTGGACTCAATGTTTGTGGAAGCAACAGAAGTGATTCTCTTGTCCAACCACTGAAGGCTGAAGCTTCGTCTGAGTTCTGTATATCGATCTATCTGCTGGATGTTTTATGTCTCTGGGCATTGTATCAGCTCTTACTTTAACTTGAATTCTCTTTTTCTTTTCTCCCTTTCAATATAAATTAAATTCCCTGTTTTTGCTCTCATCTAGTTCTAATTCTTTAATGGTGTTGTGAAAATAGCAAAAGCAGAAGGTTAAGGTCTTCCATTGAAGATACTCTACCAAGTTTCTGTAACTTTCTGCTTCTGGGGCTCTTTCTTCTAGGCTACACTTGGGTACTGAGCTTTTGGGTTAAGAGTAGGATTAAACAAAATTGTGTAAATTAATCTAAAGTTATTACTAATGAGTCTTCTGTGTGAGGAGGGTATTATCATTCTTTAGTAACCCTTAAATGAGTCTTCTGTAAGGCTTTATGTGGACTGTGGAATTGAGATTGGTCTCATGTTTTTTCAAAGAAAATAAATTTGTAATCTTCATCTCCCATGCTCTAAGTTTCCTAAATGACTTGAACAAATTACCTTAGTCTCTGCTGATCCCATATTAACCAAACACTTAATTCAGATTTTAGACAAGGATGTGGAGTATCAGGTGAACCACATAGCTTTTTACCATGTGGGCTTTGAAAAGTGAAAAATCTATACACCAACCAGCAGGATAACCTTAATCTAATGGACCCAGATCTTTTAAAACTGGGACAATCGGTCCAACCAATCAGTGCAATTCGATGGATTGTGGGTCACCCAAGTAGCAGATAAACTCAAGACCTCAAGACTCAGTTCACCTAAACCTTGGTTCTGAGAACATACAATAGTTACCAGATGATTTCAGATTATGTCAAACCTTTGTGCTGAGAAATTCCCACCTTGGGAACTCTTCCTGCTTTCAGGCCCCAGTTGTACAGTTGGGGGAACTGATTCCTGATTCTTCTCAAAGCTACAAAGCCTCTCTTCCATAAAGAGAGGGAGGTGGAAGTGTCAACCAGACAGGTGGACCTTTGTAAACATCCCTCCATATGTAAAACAAGGGAATAAAATAAATGAATTAAGTTTGTGCTTTAAAACCTCTCCCGAAAGAGGATTTATGAACTAAAACCCTCTTGAGGGTGGATTAGAAAAATTGAATTTCTTCAGCTACATGGCCAAAAGAAACAGGTGAAGTAGAAAACAGTAATAATAAAGGAGAGGGAGTAGAGTGTACTTGACTGGAGTCAACCCAGCAAAATTTTACCACCAGAAGTCCAGAACACTTACAAATGGAGGAGCAGGAAATATCTATAGTATCCTACATAATTTTACAGTTTACTAACTTTTTAATTCCTAGCTTACCCTTCTCACTTAGTCTGTGTTTGGTTCTGAGTTTCTTTGGTTTTCTTGTAATTTTTGTTATATTTATCTAAGCAGGTAAATTTCATAGGCAATATGATTTTGGTTAAAAAAACATTTGTTTTGTCAACATAAAATCAATTTACTATTTAATGTCATTTTTGTTAAGCTTGTATTATCAAAAATGAAGTCCCTAACTTATTATTATGATATAGGTAGATATATAAGTATAATTGGGTCAGACCAGATTATCCCAATTAATAATTGGTTCAGGGGTGGTCTGCCCTGTTGTGAACCAGACCTGACCCATTGACAAATCAACTTGATTGTATCAGTTTCTATGCGTAAATTAGCCACAATCAAAATTCAAATTTGAAACCATTTGGCTTGATGGACAAAAACAAGGGAATTTCCGTAGTGTGTCATAGATGGTCATTCCACAATGAAAGATATAGGTCGCCTGATTGGTCTGACCATAGAAGTGGAATGGTTTTGGCAATTATTCCTACAACCCTTTTTGGTAAGGCTCAATTTAGAAAGAGTATAAATACAAATATGCACAGTGTGTTTATATTCTTTACAAAAGGAATAATATAAATGCAAATATGTATGGTGTAAAATCTTAAATTTTGTATTTTTAGACATTATATTTGCACTGTACTGATTTGTATTTGTGATTTGTACTCATTTCAAACCGAGTCCACCGGGTAAAGCAATAAAGCTGTATGAGAAAGAAACGCCAGACAAAAAGCCACACCCACATCAGCCATTGACTCCAAAGGCGAAAATAGAATAGGACGTTGGTAGGGACAAAGGGGGGAAATCAAGAGAGGCTCTCTCTCTTTAATTACAGAGAGGCTTCTGACACGCAACACAATCAGAAAATGGGCATGACCGCACGAGGGGTAGGGGGCTACGGTAACCGGAGGGGATAATAGGCCAATCATTAGAGGACACATCAGCTGGAAATGTGGGACCCACGTGCAAAGAGAAGATTTGCCTTATTAGGATTTGGCCCCCCCCCCATCACAAAGGTGAAAGGACAGCCTCGTTGCTTGTTCAAAGCCTCACTGAGAGAAATGCATCAGAGCCTCACGTGGGTAGACCAGTACTCGGTGCAAGGACGAATGTTACTGTTTTCTATATACACCCACCGACTCGGCCTCGGGCCCCGCTTCCCCCTCACTCTCTGAGTTCTCACTCGGTCACTCCCCTGAACCTCTCTACACGGACCGGGTTTGGTCGGGTTTTGTTTTTATATTAATAGAATACATTTAAAGCCCAGGCCTAGTATTGAGCCCGAGTCTAGTTTTTATGTCCGAAATCTGGATAGAAATTTTGAAAAAAAAATGTATTAAAGATTTTTTCCTTTTCCTTTTTCTTTTCTTTCTCTTCTAATTTTACTTTGTTTTTTCTTGAGCCTGAATGCCTATGTCATCCCTGTTACATTCGACTGCTTTCCCTGAAAGATGAATGCCCTGTTTAGAGAGAGCCCACCACCCACATAAGTTTGAAAATTTCAGGATATATTTTAAAAATTTGAAAGAAAATAAAGAACAAAAAAGTCAAAAATACTTATTTAAGTATTTATCGAAAAAACTATCATTAAACACTTAATATAAAATAAGTAATTATTCTTTGAAATAAGCACTTATTTCTAAGCACCTATTTTTAACATAAACACTTTCAAACATGTTTTTACTATGACTTGAAAAATGAAAAGAATAATAAAAAAATAACATATTATATATATATATATATATATTATATAAAATACACTTTTTGCTATATAATATATCCAAGGTCAAGTTAGATTGGGCTAGTCCAGCTCGAATACTCGGCCATGAACAGGTGTAGACTTCTCTTCTACTGAATGAAAAATAGACTCTACCCAGCCAGCCAATATATGTAGACTGTAGATGATCAGTTTCCAAATTCTGGATGGGGTGATAGATATAGACAGATGGGACCCCCCCGATATGGATATGTTGTGGGCGTGCGATGTTTGTGGGCGGCTTCTTTTTTTTTTTTTTTTAAGGATTTTGCTTTGGGATTTTTTTGGGAGAATGACGTTCAGCTCTGTGTCAGAATTTGTAGGCCCAAATTATTGTTGGGGTAGGTGTCAGTTCGGAATTGATGCTAATTCATTGTGGGTCTTGGTGCATTGAATGTGGGTTCTTGACATTTTGAATGTTTATAGTTCTGTAGTGGAAATCAAAAATCTACATTGGGCCTGTTAATACTTATTGAGAATTTTTTTGGTGCCTATTCCTCTATTGGATTTATTGGATTGGGTAATGTGATTTGATGGGAGTGAATTTTAGGCCTTAGGGAATGCAATGGGTAGCAAGATTTTTAAAACCGGATTGGGTCCGGTTCCTAGTCAAACCTAATCATCCTGTCTGAATAGACAGCCCGTTTTGATAAAAAATTAAAAAAACAAAAATGGCCAAAAGCCATTCCTAGGTCAAACGGTTCGATGAATTGACCGCCTGGGTTAGTGGTTCGTTGACCAAATCAACGATTTTTAGGCTTTTAGCCAAATAGTAGTTTTGGGGTAAAATGGAATTAATTACTTTCGATCTGACTGTGCAGTCTGATCCAGTTTTGAAAACATTGATGGGTAGGATCTAGATTTAGGTTTTTATTGTGGGTCAAATCTCCGTGTTTGGACCCGTTTTAGTTGGTTTCGGGTTGGGTTGCATTTAGGAAATTGATCATGTGGTGAACTGGTGACCCATAGATAGCAAAACTTAGGGCCAACCCGAGTTAGCATTTTATGCTGATTTGGGCTTGGGCTATTTATATTTTGACAAAAAACCTAGCCGATGTCCACCCAAATTGTAGCACTAGCAAATAGGGGTGAGCAAAAAAACCAAAAAATCAAACCAACCAAAACTGAACAAAAAAATTGGTTAATCGAACCAATTGGTTCGGTGTTTTAAAAAAACTGAAGGTACCAGTTCAGTTTTGATTAACCAATATAGAAAATCGACGGTTAACTGAACTGACTAGTATACATATATTTTTATATATTTTATATATATTTATGTATATTATATATTATATATATTTCATAATTTTTATATATTATAAATTAATAAATATGCATTATATATAAATATATATTTATAATATATGATATATTATTTATTATTTAAAATATAATATTATATATATATATTTATAAATTTTTATTATATATTTATATATTTTTAGAATATATATTGTAAAAATAAAAAAAAATCGAAAAATTGACGAACCAAACTGACGATTAACCGAACTGGTCAACCAATTAACGGATTGGTATCGATTATCGATTTTCCAAAAACCAATAATACCGATTCAGTTAAAAGAACCGTGAGCACCACTACTAGCAAAAATAGGTTGAAAAAAGAGTGACACAACGAAAATTTTAAGACATACATAGGGTGCAATTCGGGTTAGGTTAGGACAGGTTGAGGTAAACCTAGATTTGGGTTATGAACCCCTAACCCTAACCTTAACCCAACTTGACCTAATCCAACCTTACCCAATGGTAGGTTGATAATGGATTGGACTAGCCTTGGTTTGGGTCTAACTGGATTTTTGTCCCATCTTCTTAAAATTTTGGGAAATTGTCCAAAAACCCATCATCACTTTTTATGAATTCTCTTAAATTCATCACAACTTCTCAAAATGTTCAAAACTCACCATATCAGTGAGATAACGGTAATTTGACTAAGGCGTTGTTAATTTACTATTTTATCCTTCATTATATTTGTTTCATTTTGCAATATACCAAAATTACCCCATCATTCTTCAACCCAAAATCCTAACAATGAGAA